GAACAAGCACTCATTGCTGGCACAAGCTGAATCTTTCATCAGTCGATGCTCCCAAACCCTTCTCCTCAGGGTTGCTCTCAAGTCATTCCCTGCCCAGCCTGTATCTGTGCTTGGGATTGCCCCAGCCCAGGTGCAGGACTTTTCACTTGGTGGTGTTGAACTTCCTGAGGTAGACATGGGCCCTCCACACTGGGCTGTCCAGCTCTATAGGACATGGATGATGTTACCTTTGTCTGTGGGACCTTTCAGAGGTGTTTATTGCACTGGGGCAATGGGTGCAGAAGTGCCCAGGGACTGCATTATTTTGTCTATTTCACATGAAAGAGTGATGTTTTAAAAGATGCTGGGGCTGTTCCCGCTGTAGAGAACTTAGCATCTCTGCAGCTCCAAGCATGAATTGGTCCATGTGAGTAAAGCTTCTTAAAACTCCCAGATGCCAAAGGTGCATGGAGAAAACTAAAACTTTTGAGATGCCCTGGAGTACCATATTTGCCCTTGAGAACAACCTTGCCTATGATATGAGCTTCAAGTTTTATAAAAACGAATAAATGGAAACATCAGTTGTCATAAGCTGGGAGAAATCTGGATAGAGAGTATTTTTATTGATAACTAGGGACTTACACAAGTAGGAAATAGTAAATGCAATGTTGCTACCTTTGGATGAGGAGCTAGACTGGAACCAGTCATTCCCCTCTGCAAGACTCACATGGATGATTTCAGAAATCTCTGTACTGGGAATGTTTTCTTCACGACCAGGTTTCAGCTTTATAATTACTTGGATGGGCTGAAGACAAAGGCAGCTCAGATGCCTTCCATCCTCCCTGAATGGTGCTCTGGGAGTTCTCTGTGTGTGAGCGTGCTGTGCCATTGCAGAAAATTGATTGAAAATACCGGGCAGGAGATGTGATTTCCAGGCAGGGATTGGCCAAGCCTGGTGTGGGCACGTTTCCATGAGACAGGCCAAGGCCAGCATTGACAGCAGGACATTTCCCCAGCTGGATTTCATGCTGTTCTTGCTAACTGTGGACGTGCCATGAGGACAAGTGTTGGGTAATGTTACCAAAGGTCTCTCCTCCCTTCCTGTCATTAGCAGAGAGGACACGGGGAGAAGAGGATGGCAAAGAGAGGGTGAAGGAACCTCATGGTGAGAAGTCTGCTGAGGACTCCCCATTATCAGTGGTAAGTCACAGCTCTTATTTAAAATAAAATCCACCATTCCAAGACTTATACTTCCGCGGCTTAATTAAAATCTTACAAACAAGAAAACATACTGCTTGATATTCGATCATTATACTCAGTAATGGTGACTCTGGATGGTTATAATCATTTTATCTGCAAAACGTAATTGGAGTCTGCACAATGATCTTACGGTGCGAGATACTTTTGGCTTCTATTTGTCATAGATGTGCGGTGGAGAGAAGGGAAAGATGATCCCTTAGCTTTTTTTCTTTTTATTAAGGACTTAATATCACTTTATAAGCAACAAAAATTAATATTTCTTGAATAATTCAAGGTTTTGAGCATTCCTTATCCTGGTTTATGTCATCATCTACATATGCCTGAAACAAAATAGGTAATAGTTAAATAGGATGGGCATTTTAATCTTTCATCAGCATGCCACAAACATAGCGTGCCAGATCATACAATCACATCCTCTACAGTTGCTCACAAGAAAAAGAAGGAATATAAAGAAAAAAAAAAAAAAAGATAAAGTTCTAAAAGGAAGTACTGTTGATTTTGTGCTTATTGAAGCTTTGCCTATTAGTTATAAAAGTGACCTCGGGAAAAAATGCTTAAATTATAAGAACTGGATACAGTTTGAAGGATATTAATTAATTTTTATTTTACTTTTATTTTTATTTTATTTAGTTATAATTTAAAAATATAAATAAAATATCTGAAGTCCATCAGATTCAAATGTAGGAGTCTTCAGTGCAGCTGATACTGGCTGTTTTTGCATGTGATGGAGAGAAGATCACTGTATTTGTATTCTTTTGAATTTTATAGATATAAAGCACATTTCATATGATCAAGTAAATGTGTTTTCATATGATCACGTTTTCTTGATCATACGAAACGTGCTTCCCTTAAAAAGTGATATTTCAATAGGCAGTTTCTAGAAAATTTACTCTCTTGAATAAATGATAATTTCAATTTGCAAATTGTAGGTTGAAAGTCATACGTGATGCTTGAGTCAATACTCCATACAGAATAAATGCAGGATTTTTTTTTTTTTGGTGGCATTTTTTTCTCCCCCTAGTGGCTGTTGTGTTTTGTGACACTGAACTGGGACATGAAGATCCTTTACCTTTTCTTGGCCGTTCTCCTCATTGTGCTCCAAAGCTCTTTAGGTGAGAGCTCTGTAAAGCCAAAGGAAACACCAAGGGAATTTTGTGAGTACAAACACAGTAAAATAGACATGGAAAGGGCTTCCATTTTGGCTGCTGCTATAGTAGTTTGTCACACAGGGTGTAACTGCTGACCTTCTTGCACTGGAAACTGAGAGAATGTAATGGTGCAGAATACTGGAATGCTTCTGTCACACTACAACCCTTGCTCGTACTTCGTCTTCTTTTGGAAGGAAAATGAAAAGTCACCATCTTTGCACAGGTTTCATGCGTGTACCTAACAACGAGGCACAGTGTGAGCAGGCAGGAGGGATCTGCTCCAAGGACCGCTGCTTCCACCTCCATACCAGAGCCTTTGGGCACTGCCAGCAAGCCGTCCCGTGCTGCCGGACTGTGGTGAGCTGCAGTTGTTCAAAGATCAGCTGTTTGATGGGGAATGGGTTTGTTATATACCTTAGCTAGTATGCTCAGAGGGTTTCCTACAGAATTCAAAGGTTCACCCATTTATTGCAACGCAAAATTATGGGGGAAAAAATGCAACAAAAAAAGACTTCCATGAAAATGTGTACGCTGCTTCCACTGTTTGATATGTAATTTTCTGTATCATCTTGCTGAATGATGTTTGCAACTCATCTTGGTTTTGGAAGTTCTTGTTTAAACTATGCTCAGTAATAGTAAGAGAGGTATTAAAAAACAAAGCAGAACAAAACAGACTAAGCAGTAGATTTAAATAAAGAGATTCTCTATCTTCGTATCAGAGACTTCAAGATGTGGAGGAAGCTTCGGGTATAGAAGCTTCCAGGCATTTCATGATTAAGTATGTATGTATGTATGTATGTATGTATGTATGTATGTATGTATGTATTTGTGGTTATAAGATCACAGTCTGAAAGTTTATTTCCCCTTCTTTCTTTCCAGAAGAGTGACTGGATGCTGGAAGGGAGGTGATGGAGTCACCATCCCTGGGGGTGTTCAAGAAACATTTCCATGTTTTGCTAAGGGATGTGGTTTAGTGGGGTGACATTAGTGGTATGTGGATGGTTGGAGTGGATGATCTTGGAGGACTTTTACAACTTTGGTGCTTCTGTGATTCTCTCTTGCAGTACAACTAATGTTTGCCAGGACCTCAGAGCAGCTAAGCAGCTCTTCTGGTGATGCAAGAGATTCATCATCCTGCTACAAAACCTGGAATGTGGGGCTGAGAATATGGGTTTAACGTGCACACATGCGTGCACTAAGGGTTGAACAGAAGAGGAAAGAAAAGAGGCACCTCTGCAAACAAATGAATGGACCCGAAGAGGCTCTGACGGTGGTCGCTGAACCACCCAGTGAAGACTAGTGTTCCTTTTCTTTTCTAAAATAAAATAGTTTTTAGCAAAATCACACTGCATCCCCTTGAGAAGATGCAGAGCAGATTCTTGCTTTGGCCTTCAGATCAGATGCTTGCATTTTTCTTTTCTGCTTAGAATTAACAGTAATGGAATTAACACTGAAAGA